GAGAGCAGGGTTATTGAGGGCAACCTTGTGCCTTTTGTCCAGGAATATGAGTGGAGACCCTGTTGTGAGACCTAGCCCACCCTACAGGAAGGAAAATAGGATGAAGCGGATAAAAATGGAAAAACTAATTTATTCAGCTTTGACCCAAACTGGGGACACAGTATCTTCAGTCTGGCTAAGCTGGGACAATAAATAGGATTCTACTATACTTGATTGGTTGACATAGAAGCAACATTCTTCCCCGAAGAAGAGGCAAAGGCCACCCCCCGTTCTTTGCTGTTAGTACTTCTAATCCTCTCTAATTTTCTCTAATGGTTTTTGTCCTGACTGGTTTTGTGTGTCCACTTGATATAAGCTGGAGTCGTCAGAGAGGAAGAATCTTCAGTTGAGGAAATGGCCTCTATGAGATGCAGTTGATCAATGGGGTGGGGCCCAGCTCATGGTAGGTGGTCCCATTCCTGGGCTGGTGGTCCTGAGTGCGGGGCGCCATCCTGTCCAGCAGGAATGAACCCCACCAAAAATGAGAATTCCTTCTCTGGTCACATCTTTATTTGGAGCATTCCCTTGAGGAAAATTGGGGGAAGGGAAGATAGAGCAGGGACAAGAGAAAGCTTAGAGAGAGAGCGTTGGGCCCCGAGGCAGCTGCTTTTAAACGGTGGAGCGGCTTGAACGCTGTCCTGATTGGTTAATGCCATTCTGCTGGTCTGAGCATGTGCAGGCAAGGGTGCAGGCAGGGTTGCTCAGCCCCACGTGGCTACCTCCAAACTGCAGGACCACCTGTGCCTCCAGGTGGCTCCCAACATCTCCCCCTAATTATTGTCTTTAAGAGCAATAAGGCAAAACTATTTTCCAATCTGGTCCCCACCTAGACGCAGCATGCCAAGGATATCTGCTCCCACCCATCCCCAAGGAGGGAAAAGGCAAAATAGAGTCAGAGATAAGAGGTTGCACAGGGTGTTGCTCAAGTCGATGGTGTGAAACAGCTGCTCTTGACACCGCCCAGAAGGTCATCTCTGCTGTCTCCGCACGAATCTTTCACAGCAGGACACTCAGCATCCACTGGGTCATCTTCTTTATCTCTCTGGTCGGTCTCGCTGGCATCCAGATGTATGTCAGCATTCCTAGAAAAACATAAACAAAACTCTCCTCCCAAATTAACATTTAAGAGTATTAAAAACTCTCAGTGTAAAAATTCAGCACAATCAGTACTGGAAGTAGGCTGGTTTTGAACTTAGAGACTTGCATGTCTCCGTTTCAAAGAGCAAATCTTGTTTGCCTGTACCAGCAAAATTTTGAATTAAAAATTAAGTGTAAAGAATGCAAGAGAAATCCTTTCTCTGGGGGAAGCTGTCACTGGTAGTGTATTCCCCCTCTTATGTCTAAAAACCAAAGCAGTTGTCACTGGGAATTGAACTTGACGTCATTACAGACGGTTGTGAGCCACCATGTGGTTGCTGGGAATTGAACTCAGGACCTTTGGAAGGGCAGGCAACGCTCTTAACCACTGAGCCATCTCTCCAGCCCCCTCTTCAGATGGAAAAACCTCTAGGTAACATTGTTTATTTCACCCGTTGCCAGGGGCAATAGGTAATGATAACCAGGTTGACGCGCCTTTATTATGATAATTAGGACCAGTTCTTTGAGGGAGAATGGACGTCGATCATCTGGCTACTTCCTGCTGACAAAGGGGCGATGTTTGGGGGATAAATGTTTTTATCTGACTGAATTTTTAGCGACCTTGGCTGAGGGCGGCGGCAGCAGCGGACGGCGGCTGCCACAGCTCCGCCTCTGAAGCCCAATGTGGCGCGCTCCGCATGGCCCCGCCCCGGGCCGTGCGCGGGCTCGCCGTTTCACCTCAGGCAATGAACTCGCACCACCGGCTGTGAGTCTTTTTCAAGCTCCGGCGAGGGGGGGCATCCGCCCACCCGTGGAGGGGCTTCTCCTGCCCGGTCCGCCCGCGCGCAGAGCCCCGTTCTCTGGGAACTCACCTCCCCGCTCGCCCATGTTGCTATGGAAACACAGTTTTTTCGCAGAGCCGATTCAGCTCCTCTCTGCCTTCTATGGCGCCGCTGCTCACCACGCAGCTTCCGCCTCAGTCAGGCGAGTCCGCTCAGGTGCTGAAAAAGTCCTCCAAAAACCATAGCCCCGCCAGAAGGCCGGGACATATAGCCTCTGATGTCACACGGACTTTAGCCCGCCCGTCGCCATGGCGACCTGGCTGTTCGTAGGCCTCCAGCAAACTCCCCGCCAGCAACCGGTTAGCATGGCCACGCCTCCCGAACGAGCTAGCACTGGAGAGTGCAATTTTGCGTCTCCCTCCTGAGTAGCTGGGATTACAGGTGTGCACCACCGTGCCTGGCCCACTTCCGTGTTTTTAATCAGGCATTACCGCTCAAAGGCGGGCCGGCTGCCGCCAGCACTCTCAGCACGATCAAGCAGCTTGTCTTTCTCAGTCAAAAATTAAAGTTTTTTGTACGTGAGAGCCAGAGACTGAGCTCTCTTATCAAAATTAGGCGAAAATCACCTCAAAAGCTCTGTGGCTCTTTGAGAACAGGGAAGGCAGTGATCAAGCTCGCCTCCCTATGAGACTGTTGCCTCCAGTCTCTAACAGCGAGTACGCAGGTGGACGGAGAGGGAGCGGAAGCCGCGGTCTCCCGTACCCCATCGTCCTCAAAGTCCCGCCTTAGTTACCTCGCCTTTTTTGCTGCTGTTTACATTCCTCCTGCACTGAACTTAAGGGATTTTTCTTCCCCGTTGCTTTCTGTACCTTCTTTCAGATACCTTAACTTTGATTTTTTTTTTTTTTTTTTTT